TGTATAGTATCAAAGCAATGGGACTTGCTGTTTTCAACATGAAGTCGAAAATATAATTTTTACCAAAAATGACAAAAATAATCACCAAAATTAGAGAATTAAAGATATCATTACAAAATGAACAAATCTGAGAGTGGTCCATATGTAGTACCTATTTTTGTAATATCAAAGCAATTGTACTTGCGGCTTTTAACAAGAAGTCAAAAATATCACTTTTCACCAAAAATGACAAAAATAATCACCAAAATTAGAGAATTAAAGATATCATTACAAATTGAACAAGTTTGAGAGTGGTCCACATGTAGTACCTATATATGTAATATCAAAGCAATTGGACATGTGGTTTTTAACAAGAAGTCGAAAATATCACTTTTTACCAAAAATATTCACCAAAATTAGAGAATTAAAGATATCATTACAAATTGAACAAATTTGAGAGTGGTCCACATGTAGTACCTATATATGTAATATCAAAGCAATTGGACTTGTGGTTTTTAACAAGAAGTCGAAAATATCACTTTTTACCAAAAATATTCACCAAAATTAGAGAATTAAAGATATCATTACAAATTGAACAAATTTGAGAGTGGTCCACATGTAGTACCTATATATGTAATATCAAAGCAATTGGACTTGTGGTTTTTAACAAGAAGTCGAAAATATCACTTTTTACCAAAAATATTCACCAAAATTAGAGAATTAAAGATATCATTACAAAATGAACAAATCTGAGAGAGGTCCACATATATTACCTATATATGTAATATCAAAGCAATTGAACTTGTCGTTTTTAACAAGAAGTCGAAAATATCACTTTTTACCAAAAATGACAAACAATATTCACCAAAATTAGAGAATTGAAGATATCAACCTGAAATGAACAAACCTAAGAGAGGTCTACCCGAGGTACATATACACCAAGTATCAAAGCATTCAGGCTCGTAGTTTTCAAGAAGTTGAAAAAGTAAAACATTGACACAGATGACGGACAATCACTCATATGATAAGCTCCGCTCGACAAAGTCGACAGCGGAGCTAAAAAGGTAAATCCTCCAAAGATTTCTCACAATTTGCACATATTCATACCATAAAATACAAGCCATGCATGGCACAGTCCCTGTTAGTTATCAAATTTAAGATATAAAGTTTTGTTTATAGTAATATAGCTGGAATATAAACATGTCAGGAATATG